CAGGCAATCCGCTCACCTCAGCCTCCCAAAGGCGCGGGATTACAGGGTGAGCCACCGAGCTGGGCTTGTTTCCAATTTTTAACTATTAAAAACAAAGTAGAACACAGACAAACAAAACAAGTATATATACAAAACACTGTGATAAGTATCCTTAGAGCTAAATCTTTCCCACAATCATGATTGATTATGAGGACGAATACTAGAAATATGATTATGTCAAATTATGCAAAACTGTAGGAGTTCTCTCTGAAGATTCATACTTCCAACACTGGATAATACCATTTAAATGTTTGTCAACTTGAGAGATGAAAAATGGTTGAATTTTCTCTTTTTGGAATACTTGTGATATCAAATGTTTTCTAGATTTATTAATCATTTATATTTCTTCTGTTCATATCATTTGAACTTTTTACTTTTGGGCTCACTTTTTGAATGTATTTTTAAGGGTTCTTAATACATTGAGGTTTACTATTGTCCTGTGTCTCTGTGCAGGAGACAGACTCCTGGATGGTCCCATGAACTTTGCCTCAGATGTTGCTTCTGTAATTTTATGTTAAACAGTAAAAGGGATTTTGAGGCTGTAATTAAGATTATTAATCAGTTGACCTTAAGATAGGGAGATTATCTAGGTGAGCCTAATCTTATCACATAAGCTCTTTAAAGTGTTTTCTCCAGCTGGTAGCAGAAGAGAAAGTCAGATTCAAAGCACAAGAAAGACTGATGCTGGCTCTGAAGATGGAGAAGCCATGTGCGTGGATGAAAAACAGTCTCCATGCGGCAAGAATGATCTCTGGCTGACATCCAGCAAGGAAACAGGGACTTTGGCACTACAACTTCAAGAAACTAAATTCTTCCAACAACCTGAATGAGCTTGAAGCCAATTTGTCCCCAGAGGCTGTAGATAAGATCTCAGCCCAGCCAACTGCTTGATTTTGACTTTGCTTGACTCTAAGCATCAAACCCAGGTGAACCCACCCAAGCCATTAAATAATAATCAGTTGTTACTTTAAGCAACGGTGGTAATTTGTTATACAGCAATAGAAAACTAATACAATATGCTAAAAATATTTTTTTGTTCTCTTGTAGCCATATATGATTTTATAATAAGTCAAGGAATCTTATTATGTCTTTTTCAAACTTACAAGATACATAATCATTTCTATTTCTGTTAGCAATTTTAAAGATTTACATTTTTACACTAAAAATAATTTTTTTCCATAAAAATGAAGGTATTTGTAAAGATGGGACTTAAGGCTATTCAAGTGAAAAAAATATTCAATTTTCTTATAAACTAACAAATGTTTGTCTTGATTCAAATAACTAACAAAGGAGACAAAATATAATTGAAACAGAAGAAATGTAGGGAATAGATAATAATTCAAAATTAGAACATCAGTTTTAGATTTATTAAAGTACTTACTTTGTCATTAAGCCTAGAGAAGTCCGTGTATCTTCTGAAAACTACCCAGCTTTCTTCTGGGGTCTTCTTTACTAGTATTTTATATACCTATGCAGGGAGAGAAAGAGAGCCAGAGAGAGAGAAAAATAATTATATGCATATAAAAGTAAATATATTTAAAAATTCAAACCAGTTAATTTTAAAACTTTTACTTTATAACTCAGGCTATAATAATTATGTAAGAGCTATCAGAAATCATTTACATCATCAAAAGTACAAATAATCAATGCAGACACTAAAAGCCAGATTCTTCTCTTAAGACATGAGTATGACAAATTTGAGACAAAATGTTTTTTCTGTGCTCATTAAAGAAATAATAAAAACTCATCAGCTTCCAAAATGTTTTATATAAACATATTGATAAAAGAATCACACTTGAAGAACTTATAAAAAAAAACCACTTTTGTCCTACACAATTTAATTTTCAAACTTAATTAACTATCAAGAAAAGTTTTCAAATAAAGTTCAATGTTGTTTCCATCTTCAAGGATGAAACGTAAGCCTCAAGTGCAAGAAAAAATTGCATACTAAATAAAAGTTTACATTTCTGTAACTATGTACAATTACTTAAGCTACAGAATAGAAACACTTGGTTGAAGTAACTCAACATATTCTAAAAAGCATATAATAAGAAAAAAGCGGCTTCTATTTATAAGTATAATTTCAGAATTTATTTTGAGGAAGTGTTATTTACGACAGAATCTCAACATCTAGTACTTTTTGGTACAGTATTTTCGGTTAAGCTAGATACACAGCACATATGAGGTATTCAATAAATAACTGCTGAATGAGTGAAACGCTCTTAAAGAGTAACTTCTTTTCTTGGACTGCAATAATTTTCAATTGCAGCCCTAGAGCTGCACTTTAGACACATATGGCAACCGAGAGCCTGAAATGCGACTAGTCCAAATTGAAATGTGCTGTGAGTGCAAAATACCCACTGGATTTCAAAGACTTAGTATGAAAAAAAGATGTAAATGGTTTTTATTAAAATAGTTTAGTATTAATTACATGCTGAAATGCTAGTATTTTAGACATATTCAGTAGAATAAAATATATTATTAAAAATAATTTCACCTGTTTCTTTTGTTTTTTTTAAATGTAGTTTCTAGAAAACTAAAATTACAAATGTGATTTGCATTTGTGGTTCACATTATACTTCTATTAGACAATGCTGCTCTAAAGACAATTTGTTATTTAGGGACTATACGTCATCCTTACCATTTAATTTTTCTCCCATACAGATTTCTCTTTCAGCTTTTAAGGGGAAGAATCAGCAAAATCTTTTAGCTTTGAAGCAAAAAAACAAGTAATTTATCTTTGTAACATATAAAGGTTGGAAACAGTTATTTGGATACCCTTTGAAGTCTAGGAAAAGTCCCGATCTAAGAAAGTTGTAATGGAATACAAAAGCAGCATTCTTTTTTAGGAGTCATTCATGAAACAAAAGAGATAAACTGACTTCAAAACTTTTGAGTATGAATGGCTAAGGCATGATCAAAGTCCACTTTATATAACAATTAGGTTTATCTACAAATAATCCATACTGATTTTAATTTCCTGTTTTAGAAAATAAACTTCCCTTTGTAACTGAGATACACTCCACGGTGGTCCTTGAAGACTCCAATTTCTCCAGGGAAGATAAAAGCTTTTTGTGTTTTTATCTCTCCAGAAAGTGCTCTTTCTACTGGTTTAAGTAGTGCTTTCAATGAAAACTTTATTTATGGACAGTACTGATCATTTCCATCTTGATGTTCTGGTAGCAGTTATTCTTTCTATTCTTTATTTGAAACTTAGTATATACTACTTTGTACTATTTATTTTTTTGATAGTCCTTGTTTTTTGAATTATAAAATATAGAGAAAAGTGCACAAATCATAAGCATACAAGCGGACAAATTTTCACAAAGTAGCCACACCCATGTAATTAGTGTCATGCGCAAGACACAAAATGTGACCGAAGAAGCCGACCTCATGCTTCCTTCCTGATCCTAGTCACCACTCATTCTAGGCAGGCACTTGTCGTTTTCACACAACCCTTTCAGAGCCGTGACACTTTATATATTATCAGATCAACAGTCAGTCTTAACACTTTCTTCAGTTACGAGATTAAGTCTAAGGAACATTCTAGGAAAAATTAGTTTATAAAATGAAGACTCCCATCTTGTCTCTCCAGCTCATCTCTCTCCCCTAAACTCTCTCTCTCTCTCTCTCTCTCTCTCTCTCTCACACACACACACACACACACACACACACACACACACTACATATACATGCGTGCACATTCACATACTTCATATTCTTATTTCAATATCTAACAGATATCTCAAATCTACTATGATCAAAACCAAATCCTGATCTTTCCCTCTAAACCTGCTATCTAAATAAATGGCAACCATGTATTTCTCATGGTTTAGGTAAAAAAGTTTGAGGTTACTCTTTCTCCAATACTCTACTTCCAAATCATTAGAAAATACAATACTGTTGGCTCTACCTTTAAAATAAATCCAGAATCTGATCCCTTCTCAGGACTTCCTCCACCATCCCAGTTCACAACCACCATCAAGTCCTCCTTGGAGTACTGCAAGAACCTACTAACTGCTTCCAGCTTCGGTTCTCTTCCTCCCCTTCCCCAAATCTAGTCTTCTTTAATAGCCAGAATGAATTTAAGTCATGTCACATGATACTTCTTTTAAAAACCTTTTCAAAGATTACCATCTCATGCAGAGTAAGACACAAAGTCCTTAAAATATGTGATCTATGTGCTACACTTGCCTGACTTTCCCTTTCTTCTCATTTCCCACACTTGAGCACAGTGCTTACTTTGCTGTTAGCCACAGGTATCTGTGTAGTTGTCCAATATGTGTTGAAAGCTCTTTCTCCAGATATTCTCATGGCTCCTTTTCTGTTGGTACTAACATCTTTTCTGTGAGGCCATAACTGGCCACAATATTTAAATCCCAGTCCCAGTTTCAGGAAAAGTTCCTCTCTTCCTTCCCTATTTTATTTCCCTCTTTAGTACTTATCATTATGTGACATACCAGTAGTCTTTTTATTTACTTATCTATCTTTTGTTCATTCAAGTTGCTTTATCACTATTATACAAAAAAGTACTTGACATAATAGGCAATCAAAAAAAATGTTGAGTTAATAAATAAGACTACTTTCATATCTGTCATTTACTTCTTCCTCTATAATGTCTTAAAAGACTTTATAATATCATAAACTAGGTGGCTTATAAACAAAAGAAATTAATTTTTCACAGTTCTAGAGGCTGGTAAGTCTAGGATCAAGACACTAGCAGATTTGATGTCTGGCGAGGGTCCATTTTCTGGTTTACAGATTGCACCTTATAGCTATGACCTCATAGCTGTGTCCTCACAGGTGGAAGGGGCAAGGGAGTTCTCTGGGTCCTCTTTTATAAGGGCACTAATCCTGTTCATGAGGGCTGTCCCCATGACCCAATCGTCTTCTAAAGGTGCCATCTCTTAATACTATCACTTCGGAGGTTAGTTTTCAACATATAAATTATGAGGGAACACCCATTTAGACCATAGTATCACCTCAATGAATGCATATTCCTTTATAAGGAAATGAGCCATCATATTATAGTTTCTAAAAGACAGTTCCATGCAGAATTCCCATATCACCAGTCTTATGACAACTTAAAAACTGTCTTTCATAAATTATCTCAGTAATTTTTTCTTGGAGGTTTTCCCTCCTGTCATAAATTTACAGCATGAAATATTGAAGTAAATATAAAAACTTTACTACAAGAAAATACAAAAGAACAAACTGTTTAATAAGTGAGTTTAGTAAAGCTGCTAGGTACATAAACACACATAGGTTAATATATACAAACATATGAAGTCAAAATATACCAATGAGCAATGAACAAATAGAAAACAAAAAAAGATATCTCTTACAAGAACATCAAACAATATCCATAGCAAGAAATAAATCCAACCAAAAGATGTAAGACCTCTGCACTGAAAACAGCAAAACATTGTAAGAAGGAATTAAAGACTTAAGTCAATGGTTAATACAGAAGAGTTAGTACTATAAAGATGTCAGTTCTCCCCATATTAGTCTATAGATTTAACAAAATCCCAACGCAAAGGGTCAAGAATAGCCAAGGCCATCCTGAAGAAGAATAACAACAAAGCTAGAGGACTTAAACTACTAAATCTCAAGACCTATTATAAAACTTTACTAATTAAGACAGTCTGAAATAAATGAAAAATAGAACACAGACCCATATATACACTTATGGTCACATGAGTTATGACACATATAATACTGAAAATGCAGAAGACAAAAAATGGTCTCTTAAATAAAAGTCTGATTAATTAATCCCATATTTTAAAAAATAGCTTGGCCCTCACCTTACACCATGGACAAAAATCAATTCTGGATGGTTTACAAATCTAAATGTGAAAGGACTAACAATAAAGCTTTTAGAAGGAAACAAAGGACAATATCTTTGAAACCTTGGAGTAGGCAAATATTTTAAAAAGTGCTAGCCAGAAAAGAAAAAAATTAATAAATTGGAAAAGATCAACTTTTGTTTATTAAAAGTATTAAGAATTATTTTTATTAAGAAAATGAAAAAGGCAAACCAGAGTTGTATCTTATGTCTAGAATGCACAGAAAACTACACATCAAAATGGAGACTTCCCAAAAGAAAAATGAACAATAATCTTGAACAAACATTTCACAAGAGAATATCCAAATTGTCAAAAATTATTTTTTCTTCAATTTAATTCGTCTTTAAGAACATTTAAATTAAAACCACAAAGTATTACTCTATGTTCACTAGAATAGCTACAAAAAAAAAAAAAAAAGTTAAAATACCACCTGTTGTAAAGGTATGCAGCAAATGGAACTTTCAAACACTGCTTATAGGCATATAAATTGGTACAACCATTTTGGAACACTATTTATCAATATCTTTTAAAGCTGGATGTATGATTTAAAAATTTTATTTCTAGGTAGATATCAAACAGAAATATATAAATGTGTTTACCAAGGGATAAGTATTAAAATGTTCAGTGTAGTAGTTTTTGTAAGACTGCCCAAATAGAAATTATCCAAATGCTATTTTACAGTAGATGGATAGTGATATATTCTTATAAAGGAATACCATTAGTAATAAAAATGAGTTACATACAGTTCATGCAAGATCAAGTATGGATCTTACCAACTTAATGCTGAAGAGAAGAGACCAGACTCAAAAAAGTATATACCCAGTAATTTCATTTATATAAAGTACAAAAATAGGCAAAATTAATTTAGGCTATGAGAAAAGTGTTGGTTGAGTAGGTCTCAACTGGCAGACAGCACAGGAGGTTTTTAGGATGCTAGTAATGTTCTGTTTCTTGATCTATATGCTAGTTACATAAGTGTATCTGGTTTGTGAACATTCATTAAAGTAAAGCAAAAGTTTACTACAGTACGGCAGAATTTAGTAGCATAAAAAGCATTAGAATTTTGTGTTCAAGAAATTTTAAGTATACTGGTTTAAACATACAGGTTAGCCAATCTTTTACTTTTTATTAGTATACAGCAGAAATCAATACTTACAGTAAACTTAGCTCTTTCTTCCATCACCTCATAACCCAGTATAGTAGGTGTAGATGGTCTATCTTCCCAACTCACTGCTTCAGGATTTTGTTCTTCGGTTTCTCTTGTTCTACTAGAATACTCAATGGAAGAATCTGCACCTGTAAACTTAGTCCTAATGTGGGGACTGCTACAGATAGATGAAGTACTATCCATTTGGTCAGGAACACTTGTCTGTTTGAAGTTACCCATACTTGAGTCTTCTAACTGCCCTTTGGAAGAGTTTGAGCTTGTTGAGGCACTCCCCAAAGAAGAGCTTCTTTGATTTCTATTGGTTGTAAAACTGGAAGCAGAGTTTCCTATGGGCATAGGAACTGGGACATAAGGAGTTGCCATCTTCTTTTGGTCTCTGCAACAAACCTCCACGCTGTTGAGTTCAAATACTTACAGAACAACTAATATGTAATCCATCATTTTCTTCTTAGGAATTCACTGTCTAAAAAATGAGAAGGACATAGTCTTTAATTTGGAGAAGGATCCAAAAATAAATAAAATGTTCTCTTTAATTTTATGACCCTCTTATTTTATTTGGAATGAAAACACTTCAAACCCCTTCCTTTAATCTCAGTGATCTCTAAGGACTCTCATTTGCAAAGTAGAGAGTAAAACTACTTCACACCCCTTTTCTTGATCCCCATGTTACATGTTATTCTTTTATCCCATTGTATTTCCTTGTGAAGGATTTCTGTAATGTTTATTTTAACCTGATTTTGTCTCTACAGCAGAGCTGGTAGGACAATGAGTGGTAAAGACCCTCCTGAAGCTTCATTCCAAGCTTATCATCCTGAACTTATCAGACAGTGCAGCAGGGAAGGAGAGAAGGGAGGAAAGAAAGGGAGGAAAACTATCCACATTATCTTTTGATTTAATTAGTGAAACTCTAAAGAGTTACACAGAGTAATAACAGTGAAACAGAAACTTAGACGCTAAATATCAACTGCTCCTCAAGTAACATTTTATAAAACCCAGGATCAAATGTATCTGAAAAACAAACTTGATCAAGTTAACCAAATAAATCCCAATGAACATTAAATTTATATCCAGCAAAATTAAGTGACTAAACGTTTAACCACTCAGTTTCCAGCTCATCACTAATTCTGCTTTGAAATAAAATGTGGGTACTTAACAAATTCTTATAACTAATACTCAGTGATCTCCTTTATCAAAAGGACAAGTAAATCTTTTAACAGAATAACATAATATAAAGAAATGGCTTGCCATTAAATTGTTAAATAATAAACTCACCCGAAATTGTAATAACTACAAGATGACAGGACTACACATAACATTAACGCGTCTGCCTGCCCAACTCTACTTAGGAAGCTTGACTGGTGAGAAAGGGAGGAAACAAGACATCTGGACTTGGAACGACGTTGAAATCAGATTTTTTTAACTCTGCACGTGGCTCTGGGCAATCTTCCCCTTTATCAAAGATCCAAGAAACCCGAGCTGCTGACTTGCTGCTGCTCTGTTCTGCCCGATGGCCTCCCAAAACGCAAATCCTAAATCTGAAGTCTCGACCTTCTCAAGGCCTGTGGGATCCACTTGGCCTTTGTCACCTGAGGCCGCCAGGCGAGGTGGGGGGTGGGGGGGAGAGGTCGCATATCAACACACCACAGACGTCCAAAGAAGTGAGCGCTCCCCAAGCGTTAAGAAAACATGCTGTGCTCATTAGGAGCGTCTCCACTTGTGCCAGGAGATGCTCCCAGGACGGTCACCTCAGCCTCATTCTGGAAAACCTCGAGTAGGCGAGGCAGCCCGACGGTGACCAACCCCGTGGGCGAGAGAACTGGGTGGAGAGAGGAAAGTTGGAAAAATCCCAGGCCTGGCTCGACCTTCGGAAGGTGAGGTCGGGACCTGCGTCGGCCCCGGGTCTCCGGCGCTCGGGGCTCCGGGACCCAAGCCCGCGCCACCAGGACGCACGGCGGAGTCGGCGGTGGCCTGAAGGTGGCCGGGGGCGGGAGGACTTCCCGCGGCGCCGCCCCACTCTCCCGCGGAGCCCCTCGCCGCCCGCCAGCCGCCCGAGGTGCAGGTGTCACCCGCCCGAGAGCCCGGGACGGCGCGCCTGCCACCCCGTCCCTACCTCAGCCCACTCCGCGATCCCGTCCGAGCGCGCTTCCCGGGGACGGTTAAACTCGACTCTCCTTAACCGCAGCTTTCCGCCTCCTCCCTCAGCACCAAGAGGCCTCACGTGACCCCCCCGCCCTGAAAAGCGCCGCTCCCCGCCTCTGCCCGTCCCTGCCCGCCTCCGCTCCGCCGCCGGGCCCAGGAGCCCGGTAAGGGGGTGGGAGGGGCGGAATCTGGGACGCCCGGCCCGGACGTGACGTCACGCGAAACACACCCGCCCTGGAGGAGCGGGCTGGGGCGCCCGCCCGGGCTTTCTGGCGGGGTGGTGAAGTCTAGTTCTGTGGCAGGAATTCGACATTTGGGGCTCTATCTTCTTTTTTGCCAAGTGAACTTTTGAAAAATTGGAGGCTACGATACCTAGTTTGCCCGACGGATGATTACAAGACTACAGTTCCCGGGAGGCACCACGGCCAACATCGGTCCGGGTTCCTGCTTTTTATCATGGGATTTGTAGTCGGAACCATCTGGGCTGGTTCTATAGGTTATAGATTGTTTTCCGGAATTAGCAGCGCTTTAAGGGATGACAATCGATTCGGAGAGTAGGAGGATGGAGCACTGCAGGGTAGCTGATCCGTCCTACATAATTCAGAAGCCCTCAGTGGCAGAGAATCTCTGAAATTCTTTAGTGTGCTTTACCATCTGGGGAGCAATTTTATCACAAATGATGGAGTATTATTAGCCTTTTTAAACTTGCGCATCTGAAGACCTATGTAAGGTTCTTGTGAAGCCAGTCTTTGATAGTCGAATTTCAAGATTCAGACAAGTCTACAGGCCAGTTCATCACTAGAATGGTGCGTTTTGATGTAAAAATCATTCCATGATTGCCGAGGCTTTGGAGCAGTCCCAAGACTAACAGTGGTAATTTCAAAGTGGACGTAGTAAGATAATCTTGTTTTTGGCATAATGATGGTTTTGGTTTGAAAGATATAGCCCTTTCGGTGTGAATGAAACATGAAAATTGAAATTCTATAGGAAAAGTGAACTAAAACGCAGGTAGTTTTTAGAATAGACTTGGCAGTCTTGACCTTTATATTCTTGAGTTCTTTATGTAAATAAAGGTAAGAGAGAAGAGTATAGATAAAAATGAATCTTGGAATATGTCCCTCTTTCATGGCCAGGGCTGCAGGTAGTAGCAGGAGAGACCTGTGATGAGGAAAATCTGAGAGTTCAATATATCAGAAACTTAGGAAAATTAAACTTTCAAGAGTAAGGGTGTACAGATACCACAGTTAGGAGGAGGATAGAGATATAGGTACCTGGAATTGTCCAAGAAGAACTTTATTCAAAGATTATTGAACGGAGCATAACTTACGTACTACATGTTTTCTTTCATTTGAAAGAAATTGATTTAGATTTTATTTTAAGAAATGAAGTAACTTATATAGTACATGTTTTCTTTCATTTGAAAGAAATTGATTTAGATTTTATTTTAAGAAATGAAGTAATCATCTTTGGTAATCATGAAAATATATATGTCTAGAAGGACAAGGAATGATTTTATATAATGTTATATAGATATTGATAACTGGGAATTGAGGGAGAAGAAGGAGGTAAAAACCACAGCAGAAAAAAGCAGTGCAGTGGGCAGGCATCTTTTGAAGTGGCTTCCTAGATCCCAATATTTCTCCCTTCTTGAAAATTGGTCTCTCTTCTACAAGGCTGGGATCTTAGTGGTCAAGGTTGTAATAAATAAATTTTTTGTCATAGCTCATTTTGCTCGAGGAGGACATTTGACCTACATTGTGTCCAACAGGTACTCTTTCCTAGGAGATAAAATTGGGAGTTTGGGGGAGAGATACAAGTTGGAAGTCAGAGGAGGTAAAGTTAAACTAAAGGAAATTCTGTGGTGAGAAGGTCCATGAAGTTTTCACTGCTAATGTCCCTGGAATTGGCCCAGTTCCGCCCCCTTCTGGACTTCTCTTTAAACTCCATGAGATAACCTAGTGTGCTTTCAATAGATTGGTTTTGCATAAATCTAGCCAGGGTTGGTTCTTTTACTTAAAACCAAAAGTACAACTAATGCAGCAAGTTGGAATTAGTCAAACTGAAAATGAATAATAGATACTGGTAAAATGCCTTTCTGGTTTCTGTAAATAGCTGTCAACAGTTCATAATCTAAGATCTTAAAATAAAATATGGTCTTTCATAATCTGCTGTTTGTTTAGAATATAAAGAAACAATTTATCAAAATTAATATTAATTTATAACTAACATCAAAACTCCTTTATTGTCTGGGCATGGTGGCTGATGCCTGTAATCCCAGTGCTTTTGGGAGGCCAGGGCAGAAGGATTTCTTGAGCCCCAGAGTTTGAGACTAGCCTAAGCAACATAGCAAGATTTCATCTCTAAAAATTTTAAAAATTGAAAGCAGTGTGGCGATTCCTAAAAGCTCTAAATACTGACCTCCCATATGACCCCGCAATCTCCCTACTGGGAATATACCCTGAAGAACTCAAATCACTTTATAAAAAAAGATACCTGCACACGTATGTTTATTGCAGCATTGTTCACAATAGCAAGAACCTGGAACCAACCATGCTGTCCATCAAAAGAGGACTAGATTAAAAAAATGTGGTACATGTACACAATGGAATACTATGCAGCCATAAAAAAAGAACAAAATCATGAATTTTGCAACAACCTGGATGGAACTAGAGTCTATAATACTGAGTGATCTTTCACAGCAACAAAGATCTGAGTATCACATGTTCTCACTCATAAGTGGACCTTGAAAATCTGTCATAATACTATAAGAAAAGGATCGACAGTGGTGAGAATCTATGGGGGGGACAGGGAGGGCAAGGATGGTGGGATTAATGGTAGTCAATATCTGTCTGGGGATGGGGGGACACCCCTTATCAACAAGGGTGTCTGAACGATGCATATTTGTATACCTAACCCTTAACTGTACCCCACAATTTTAAAATAAAAAATATGTTCAAAAATAAAAAAATTTAAAAAACAAAAAATTTTAAAAATTAGCTAGATGTGGTGGTGCACACCTGTAGTCCCAGCTACTTAGGAGGTTGAACCGGAAGAATTGCCAGAGCTGAGAAGGTTGAGGCTGCAGGGAGCTGTGAGCATGCCATTACACTCTGGGCAACAGAGAGAAAGAGAGAGAGAGAGAGAGAGAGAGAGAGAGAGAGAGAGAGAGAGAGAGAGACTCTAACTCAAAAAACAAACAAAACTCCTTTATTAATTATTTTGGTTTAATTTTATAGATTCTCTAATTTATATTTGTTGTTTTCCATAGGCAGTACTTAGTTTTTGTTGTTTGTTTTTTTGAGTTGAGGTGTTACTCTTGTCATCCAGACTGGAGTGCAGTGGCATGATCACGGCTTACCATGGCCTCGATCTGGGCTTAGACAATCCTTCCACCTCAGCCTCTCAAGTGGCTAGAACTACAGGTGTGTCACCACACTAGGCTAATTTTTAAAAATTGTAGAGATACTATATTGCCCAGGCTGTTCTTAAACTCCTGGGCTCAAGTGATCCTTCCACTTTGGCCTCTCAAAGTGCTGAGATTACAAATGTGAGCTACTGTGCCCAGCTCATAGACAGTGTTTTTTAAATCATAATATTCAAGATCCGTACTCCACCTACCTTCTGTTTTCTCACTGCCATAAAAATTGAGTATTCAGAAAAAACCCCACAAATTATCTATTCTTAGAGTAATAGAGTTTACCAAAGTAGTAACAGGACAACATGACATCCAACTTTGTCTCAATGAACCTGTGACCTATGCAATTCCTAACAGGGTAGAAAGTATATAATATTTATAATGGCACAAGGATGACACTCTTCAATACTGCTATTGATTACTATTGATTTATTACTCATCATATTACATAAGGAAAGTTTTGAAAGCATATGTGGAAATCCTACTAGAAACATAACAGAGAGATAAAATTCTTCTTCAGACTCTCAGGCTCATAATCTTATAAGTAAAAGGATGATAATTATGAGAATAAGCCTCCATTTTATAGCTAAGAATACTGAGGAAAACAGAGGTTAGATGATGTTCGTGAAGTCACAGAACCAATTAATCCTTGACTCTTAAACTGGTAAATTTCTCACCATACACAATAAGACCTTTCCTGAGCACTTCTACACGCTTTTCTGTCTTGTGTGTCTTTCAACTTTGTCTCACCTCTGCTACACTATCAATTAGTACTTGATCCCTGGTAAGTCTTTAAGGATTTTTTTACATAAGGAAGGTCTGCACTGAGCCTTTAAGGATCAGTAAAAATTGAGTAAGTCAAGGAGGAAAATAAGGCACACCATACAAAAGGAAAGACATGAGAGAGGACACAGCAGATTGTGAGGTTTGTGGTATAATTAGAAGAGCAACATGATTGGAATGAAGGGAGTGTGGCAGGATGTAGCTAGAAATAGAGAGATGAACTCCTGCTCTTCCTTCAAGTTCACCTCAGATAAAATTTCATCAGTGATACGTTTCTGCTTCCCTCATATGGAATGAAGTAAGCCATATGATTCATTGTATTTGGTATAGGAATAGAGGCAATCATCACATGATATTGTGTGTTCTTGTGTGCAGACTAAAGGCCAGGATGATGTGTTGGACATTTATGTGTTGATGGTACCTTGTTTGATATCCATAATTACTATTTTTCTTACATCTAGCCAACTTTACTTTTTTACATTTTCTACAAGATCCCTGTAGACATTTGCATTTTGAAGTCTTAGTTTAGAGAATAAATCCCACGTCTTTGAGTAGGCCTATCACCCCCTTCATGAACTGACTTTCACAGGCCTATTTCTTCTTAAAAAATAATTTAATCAGCTATTTATTGAGGACTTACCATATACAAGGAAACTCAAAGTCCAGCCAAACCAATTATTTCCCATTCTGAGCTCTTTACTTTGTTTTCTTGCTAGTGTTTGGTATGGATTTTCCTGTAATTCTTGCATTTCTCTTATCTCATTTGTGAGGCAAGGCTTTGGGTCATCTCCTCTCCAACAGCTTGTCCCAGTCCTCCTCCAGCTATCCTCACAGTCCTCTCTGCCAGCCTCCATTATAAGCTTACT